GGGTGTTCTGTTGCAGGTGCTTGTCTGTTTGAATTCTGAAGTCCCAGAGCAGTTTAATTTTTTAATTTCCTATGACTTTATTATTATTATTGTTGTTGTTGTTGTTGTTGTTTTTATTTATATAAAAACAAAAAAACACTTTAATCTTTTTCTGCCTTTCCAGGAGCTGGAGACGCTGGTGGCCCACTGGAACCTCTACCTGAACCTGGCTGGCTTCTTTGTGGGGCTCTTCTCAGTGACCCTCTTCGGCCCCTGGAGCGACAGCGTGGGACGCCGGCCGGTGTTGATCCTGCCCGCGCTGGGCATGGCCCTGCAGGCCGCCGTCTACCTGGTGGTCATGTACGCCGAGCTGCCCGTGGGGTACCTGGTGGTGGGCCGGGTGCTGAGCGGCCTATCGGGCGACTACAACCTGATCCTCGCCGGCTGCTTCGCCTATGTGGCCGATGTCAGCGACCGGACGGCCCGCACGTTCCGGGTGGCCATCCTGGAGGCCTGCCTGGGCCTGGCGGGCATGGTGGCCAGCGTGCTGGGTGGGCAGTGGCGCAAGGCGCAGGGCTATGTGGCGCCCTTCTGGCTGGTCTTCGCGGCCAGCCTGGCCGCCGCCCTCTACGCGGCCTTCGTCCTGCAGGAGTCGGTGCTGCAGAGGCAGCCGCGGCGCCTCCTCACGCTGCGCCATTACGCGACGGTGTATCGGCTGTACGCCAGCCCTGCCCAGGGCAGGGCCTGGCACCGGCTGCTCCTCTACTCGCTGGCCTTCTTCGTGGTGGTGACGGTGCACTTTGGGGCCCGGGAGATCCTGGTGCTGTACGAGCTCGGCCCTCCGCTCTGCTGGCCCCCGGAGCTGATCGGCTACGGCTCGGCTGCCCACTACCTGACCTACCTGAGCAGCCTGGCAGGGCTACGGTTGCTGCAGAGGTGTCTGCCAGACGCCTGGGTGGCCCAGTTGGGCCTGCTCTCCAACACACTGGGGCTGGTGACCGTGGCCCTGGCCGGGACGACGGCCCTGATGTTCACAGGTGAGGCTGGGGGGAGCAGGTGGGGGGGGGAGTCTGGTAGCCTCTCCTCTGAAGGACCCCCAGGAGACCTCCATGGGGTTGGCTTTGTCTTTCTTTCTTTCTTTCTTTCTTTCTTTCTTTCTTTCTTTCTTTTTCTTTCTTTCTTTTTCTTTTTCTTTCTCTTTCTTTCTTTTTCTTTTTCTCTTTCTCTTTCTCTTTCCTTCTCTTTTCTTTTTCTTTCTTTCTTCCTCCCTCCCTCCCTCTTTTTCTTTCTTTCTTTCTTTCTTTCTCTTTCTTTTTTCTCTTTCTTTCCTTCTGTCTTTCTTTCTTTCCTTCCTCTTTCTTTCTTTCTTTCTTTCTTTCTTTCTTTCTTTCTTTCTTTCTTTCTCTTTCCTTCTCTTTTCTTTCTTTTCTTTCTTTCTTTTTCTTTCTTTCTTTCTCTTTCTTTCGCTTTCCTTCCTTCCTTTTCTTTTTTTTCCTTTCCTTTCCTTTTCTTTCTTTTTTTTATTTCCATTTATTTATTTATTTATGAAATTTATGAGCCCCCCCCCCATCTCATATCCAATGACTGGGCGGCTTACAGCATAAAAACATAAAAACATGAAAAAAACATTAAAACCAATAATTATAGAAACACAGTGGATAAAATCATTAACTAACATAACTAAATAGTAATTAAATAATTGTTAATTATTATAAGATTACTATTGCGTAATAATGAAATAATCAACCCCAGATGGGAAAGGAAGGAGCCGGACCCACTAGGGGGGGCAGGGGGGCCCTTGCAGGGGCCACAGAGGACCCAGAGCTTTGTGCCAGCGCAACCTCACCCAGCACCCACCCAGACGGCCCAGGGCAGCCGGCCTGCTCACGGTGCCAGGTTCTGCTGCTGTGGCGGGTGGGCTTGTGTGGCGGGGGGCTCCCCTCCCCTCCGGAGGCTCCCCCTGGGCCCTGCTCAGCTCTCCTGCTGCCTCGCTGACTGTCTTCCCCACAGGTTATGGGCTCCTGTTCCTCTCCATGACGGTCACTCCCGTGATCCGCTCCAAGCTCTCCAAATCGGTTGGCGAGACCGAGCAAGGTAGGGCGGAAGGGGGGGGGGTGGCTCTGCCCGTCCCCACACCTCTGTGTCCCCGTGCCCTCCCCCACTTCGGTGCTCCAAGGGTTGAGGGGCACTGCCATATTTTCTCTGTCCCTAACCACCTAGAATGAATGGAGCATTTGGGGACTCAGATTGGCCTGGGGGGGGCTGCAAGGGGGCAAGATGGTCTGGGCCCCCACCCTGTGTCTGAGGCCCCCGTTTTTCCTGGCTGCTTGACCCCTCCCCTTCCTGTCTTCCTCCTCCGTCAGGGGCCCTCTTTGCCGCTGTGGCCTGCGTGGAGGGGCTGTGCTCCCTAGTGGCCACGGGGGTCTTCAGCTCCCTCTTCCCGGCCTGCCTGTCCTTCATGAAGGGCTTCCCCTTCCTCTTCGGAGCTGTTCTCCTCCTCATTCCGGCTGCCATCATTGGGTGAGTCTGCCTAGGGGACCAGATGTGGCTGGTCCAGATGTGGTGGCTTGGGGTTCCTAGCTTTGGTGGTTCTTGACTGGGGATGATGGAGTCTGGAGTACCCCCTGGAGGGAACGACTGATCCAGAGCTCTCTTAGATTCGGTTTGTCTTCCATGAAGTTGTCTGAAATGTCCTTTTAAAGCTGGCTGCTGTTTTCCAGTCCAGTGATGGGGAGTTCCAGGGGTTAACGCTGCGCCTTGGCTGCAGGTTTTGGCCAAAAAATGCAGCCCACAGCCAGTCAGGGACAAAAACCACCTTTCCCAACTTCCTGTTTTGAGAAAGGGAGAAAAACCTGCTTCCTCCAAGCATCTCAGACGTCCCCCCAACTTTTTCTCGCAAGAGCCCCCCCCCGAACGCCATCTGGGTTGCCCTCTCCCCGTCTCTTCCTGCTCTCCAAACAGGGCCGTACAGTATAGGCAGTCCTCGGCTTACGACCGCTCCCTTAGTTCAGATTTATGACGGATCCACTTTGGGTGCTTACAACCTCTTGGGCCCTTCCAGGGTCACAGGGCCGAACTCGGAGTGCTCGGCAACACAACCAGGTTTGCAGGTGTTTGCAGCAACCTGCATTCATGTCACACCGAGACTGGACAGTCCCTTGTCTGAGACGGTATAGGAGGTCCTTCTGCTTGAGCAGGGGCTGGACTAGAAGACCTCCGAGGTCCCTTCCAGCTCTCTTGTTCTGTTCTATTCTGTTCTGTTCTATATTCTATATTCTGTTCTTTCTCTATTCTATTCTATATTGTATTCTGTTCTATTTTCTATTCTATTCTATATTCTATTCTGTTCTATATTCTATTCTGTTCTATATTCTATTTTCTATTCTGTTCTATTCTATTCTAGATTCATTACTCTACTTACAACCACAACAGAGCCCCAAAATCTCTGTTGCTAAGCAAGACAGTTAAGTGAGTTTTGCCCCATTTTACGACATTTACTGCCACAGTTATTAAGTGAATCATTGCAATTGTTAATAACCTGGTCGTTAAGTGAATCTGGCTCCCCCCCATTGACTTTGTTGGTCAGAAGGTTGCAAAAGGGGATCACGTGACACCCCTGGGATGCTGCGACCGTCATAAATACGAGCCGGTTGCTAAGAGTGTGAATTCTGCTCCAGTGACCCTGGGGATGCTGCAACGGTCGTTAAGTGTGAAAAACAGCCGCAAGTCTCTTTTTTCAATGCTGTTGTAACTTCAAACGGTCACTAAACGAATGCTTGTGAGCAAGGGGCTGCCCATACAACAGTTTTGCCAAATAACAAAAAAAAATTAATCAATTTTTGAACCATTGGAACTTAGAATAGCAACGGGGGGGGGGGTTGTCAGTCGTACGTGGAGGACTAGCCAAGCAGGCCTTGTGCAGCAGGAGGGCCGCGCTGCCAGGCCCCACAGACCCCTGACGGGCTGTCTGTCTCTCTCCTTCCAGGGGCATAGAGGTCCACGATGGCACCGCCAGATACCGGCGTTTCGGTGAGGCTCCCGGGCCGCCGCAGGAGGCTGAGCCATCGCCCCAAGACGAGTGAAGGCATCGGCCCTCCTGGGCACAGAGGACCTGCGTGGATCTCCAGTGCGGATCGATCACGGTCGTCTGGATCCACGATGGATCAGGATTTAGGACTTGGAGCTGTGTGAATGCACAGATGTCATCTTGGGTCTAAACCAGGGGTCTTCCAACTTGGCCCTTTGATGACTTGTGGACTTCAACTCCCAGAATTCCTCAGCCAGGCACGAGGAATTCTGGGAGTTGAAGTCCACAAATCATCAAAGGGCCAAGTTGGAAGACCCCTGCTTGTGGACTTCAACTCCCAGAATTCCTCAGCCAGCGTGCCTGGCTGAGGAATTCTGGGAGTTGAAGTCCACTAATCAAAGGACCAAGTTGGAAGACCCCTGTCTTAAAGCCTCCTGGCTGAGGAATTCTGGGAATTGAAGTCCACAAGTCCTAAAAGGGCCAAGTTGGAAGACCCCTGGTCTAAACCAAGGGTCTCCAGACATGGCCACTTTAAGACTGGGGGACTTCAATTCTCAGAATTCCTCAGCCAGGTTTCCCAACCTTGGCCACTTTAAGACTTGGGGGCTTTAATTGCCAGAATTCTGGGAGCTGAAGTCCCCAAGTCTTAAAGTGGCCAGGTCTAAACTGACGTGACCAGGCAGCCCAGTGAGGGGGGCGCCCGCTGCTCTTCCAGCTGGTACTTGGCAGAGGGACCCCCAATGTCTCCCGACAGGGTCCTGCGCGTGGCACAGTGGGAGGGGCCCGAGGATACTGTGGGGTCTTCAGACCTGGCCCTGCCAAGTCTCTTCCTGACGTGAGGCTGCCAGGACCGAAGCAGGGGCTGAGAAGGGGGGGAATGACCGCTGGGCACCGGACCTCACCCTGCCAGCCCACTCCCAGCTCTCCCTGGGGGCCGAGGGACAATAAAAAGGAAACCGAAGCGACTTTCTGGGGTCTCTTTGTACTCGTTGAGGATGGACAGAGGGCAGAGGGCAGAGGGACCACCCCCGCGGGCACGGGAGCTCAGCCTGTGTGCTAGGAAGGGATGCCCAATGGAGTGGCATAGCACACCTGTCCCACATTTTGTTACAGTTCCACTCTTGGGCTGCCCATGTCCGCTGTGCTTGTGTGTACGCTTTTGAGTAACTCCGGACAATCTGGTGGAGCAGCTCCTGCAATTTCTCGGCAAGACTTTTACGGTTGATTTCCCCCCCCCCCCTTTCCTAGAGCTGAGAGGAGGACTGGCTCAAGGTTGTCCAGCTGGCTTTGTGTCTAAGGCAGGACCGGAACTCACGTCTTCCGGTTTCTAATAAAGGAGAATCTTTGTAGCTCTGGGTTGAAATGAGGAGTCTCTGGTGCTCTCTGACCTTGGTGGTTGTTTTTCTTGCAGATGCTTCATGACCCAACTAGGGAACGTCATCAGTGCTAGAAGTGGGGGGAATGCAGAGAGGAGGAGGAGAATTGTGGGGTCCTGGGTGCTCTCTAAGCTTGGCTGTTTTCTTGCAGACATTTCATTACCCAACTAGGGAACGTCATCAGTGCGAGGAGGAGTTATTGTTATGGGGTCCTTTGTGGTCCGCGAGCTTGTTTTTTTTTCTTGCAGACGTTTCATGACCTGACTAGGGAACGTCATCAGTGCTAGAAGGGGTTTGTGGAGAGGAGGAGGAGGGGAGGGACTAGGAGGGGGAGGAGAAAGAGGAGGAGCTACAGGTTCCTTTGTGCTTCCAGAGCTCGTTTTTTTTTTCTTGCAGACATTTCATAACCCAGCTAGGGAATGTCGTCAGAGCTAGAAGGGGTGGGGGGTGAGAGCAAACACCTCCCCCTACTAGCATTGATGATGTTGCCTAGTTTGGTAATGAAACGTCTGCAAGAAAACCACCCAGCTCAGAGGACACCAAGGACGCCTCACTCTGGTTTCTAGCCTGGCAACTGAAGCACCACAACATCCGTCTCGGCTTTCAAAGCAGAAAGAACGGGACACTCATAGCGCAGGAGTGTGTAGTGCAGGGGTAGGCAACCTTGGCTCTTTTAGGACTGGTGGACTTCAACTCCCAGAATTCCTGAGCCGTGCAGGGGTAGGCAACCTTGGCTCTTTTAGGACTGGTGGACTTCAACTCCCAGAATTCCTGAGCCAGCTGTGCTGGCTCAGGAATTCTGGGAGTTGAAGTCCACCAGTCCTAAAAGAGCCAAGGTTGCCTACCCCTGGTTCTAGTGAATGGCTTTGCCTCTGGGCTGCTGGGTGAGTGAGCAGGCCAGCGGCTTTGACAAGCCCGTTGTTTTTATTTGTATCCCAAATAAATTGAGTTTGAATTTGGGGTGCTCCTATTCCCCCCAACGGCACCGAGAACAGCAGTGCCGTTACTGTGGAGCAGCACAAAAGATATTTGCCTTTCTCCCCCCCCCCTTGGCTCTCAGGGTGGAAAGAGGCAGAGAGGCCATTAGATTTGGGGGCTCCCAGTCATTCCGGACCACCCCCACCCCGTGCCCCACAGATCCAGACTGGCGTCAAGGCTGGGAAATGAGCAGACCGACCATTTGCGACAATCCCTTTTTGCAAGTTTTATAAAAGCTTTTCTTTCCCTGCACGAGGAAGAGATCAGAGCAAAAACCCCCCGGCCCCCCCCTGTACCCGGCCATCCTGGGCAAGAGCTCCCCTTCTCGAACACAAGTCCTGTGCCAGCTTCCCCTGGCACCCACTTCTGGAGGCGTCCTGGGCCGTCGTGAGGCACGTGTTCAAGAGGGCCGGTCTCTCCGTGCCTGGCGGGATTGGAAAAGACAGCCGTGGCAGAAGGCACAGGCAGTGGCGTCACGGGGGGGGGCACGTGGGGTGCTCTGAGGGTTCAGCCTCCCCCCCCCCGTGGCCCCTCGAGTCTCCCCTGGAGCCAAAGCAGCAGGAATTGGGGGGAGGGCTTTTCATGCTAAGGAAGCCGGCCGTGGCACAGAGACCCCCTCGGAGCATCCCAGCCAAAGAAACATGGAAGCTGCCGTCGCCTCTGGAAGCAGCAAAGCCACGACTCCCAGTTGGGGGGGGGGAGCACAGGGGGC